ATCACCTTCCCCGGCCTGAGATCATTTTCTTTTCCTCAACCTTAACAACCCTGGGTAATCCAGAAGGCAGTTATTAATCATATATTTAAGAGAGGAGGTAATAGATCCAGAGAGGTTGTAAATTATTTTGCGCAAATATATACAGTCAGTAGGATTCAAGTTCCCTGACCCCTCATGTGATAGTCTTGCCATTATATTTTAATTTACTTTTTATACCTTTAATTTTGTATACTTCTTTTACTTTTTATTTTGGGATAAGTTCTTATCTATTGAATGGTTGCAAGAAAAATAAAACTCTTCTGTGTACCTTTTACCCAGATTCACTGTTTTTTAACATGTTGCCACATTAGCTTTTTAATTCTCTCTCCACATACACATTTATTTTCTGAACCATTTGAGGGTAAGTTGTATACATAAGAACCCTTACCTCTTTACTTACCAGTGTACATTTCCTACAAAAAGTATTCTTTCAAAGAGTAATCACAGTGCAAGAATAACTTTACAGTTTTTATTTTTAAGCTACAGCCTCAATTTCAGTTTTGTCAATTGTCACATTAAAGCCTTTTAAAGCATTTTCTCCCCTTCTAAGACAGGATCCAGTCCAGAGTTATATACTGCATTTAGTTGGTATATCTTTTAGTCTCCTTTAATTTGGAACAGTTCCTCAGACTTTTTTCATGCCATTGATACTTTTGTGGAAGGTTCCTCAGTTTGTTTGTCTATGTATCCTTATGGTTAGCTGCATTCAGATGATGCATCCCTAGCCAGAATACCACTGAAGTGAAGTATTCTTCTCAGGCTATCACATCTGGAAGCGCAGAGTATCCATCTGCCTTTTACTGATTATAGTAATTTTGATTCCCTAGTTAAAATACTGTCCGGTCTCTCCAGTGTAAATGCCTGTTTATTTCCTTTGCAGCTTATAAGCAATGTGGGAGATACTTTGAGACTTGCATATATCCTGCTTCTCATTAGAACCCTCTACTTTTCATACCTGTGCATTACTCTTAGCTCAAGCCAATCTTGACAATATTAGTTGCAAGGTGATAATTTCCCACTACGTGTTCCATGTTTATCAGTCTACGTCCTGTTGTAAGGAAGAGCCCTCCCTTCTCCCCATCTGTTCATTTATTTGTTTACTTAAATTTTAATTATCAATATAGAATCATGGACTCCAGTTTTATTTAATGGAGTGTAATCCATTATTGTCCTTAATTATTTCATGTTTAAATTGTCTCACATTTGACTAGCAAGAGCCCCTTCAAGCTGATATTCCAGGCAAATCGTGCAAAATTATTCCCCTATGTCTTTTCTTCTTCTAGAAATGTTACAGTTTTAGGTAGTTCTTACATTTAGATCTGTGAACCAGCGGAAGAGAATTTTTGTAGATGGTGTTGTTATTGGATTACACCAGTGGGATTCTTCCATTACTTGTACTTGCTTATTCTTATAGTTAAAAATTCGAAACTTAGAAAAATAGTAGCAGCTCTTAGGAGGGAGGGAATGCCCTTGTATTGGGTGAGGGGGCAAGGAGCACAGAAGCAGGTAGATTACTAGAGAAGCTTGTATCTTTGGAATAACCACAGAAACAAAAGAAAGGTATATATGAGACATACTAGTTTATCTGGCCACAGTTTTTCTAAGAAAATTGAAATTAGTTCCTAGATGAAGAGGAAATTAGTTGATATTTCAGCAGTGGTGACTTTTGTATGTTTGCCAGTATTGCTAACAATGAAAATAAAATCACTAGAACAAAGTCAAATATGTAAATTGTGGTACAAATAAAAATAATTTTATAGCAATACAGTGTTATCTTTTAATATTTTCAGTGACTATAACCTGTTTGCTGCTTTATATTTTTCACCTTGGAGAGTAGAAGTTTAGATTGGGAGATATAAGGAGAAAAATGACTTTTGGCTCAACACAGGGTACTAGCATATTGTCCTTTAAGAGAGAAAATTGTGAGTTTAAATGCTTTATTTTTGTGGAGGTGGAGACGATGAATGATATCTGGAAAATTCTGTGAAATATCCTTGGTGATGTTTAAAGAGTTAATTAAGATGGAGATTAAATCCAGTACCTAGAGTGTACATATACAGTCCAGAAAATGAGCAAAATTTTAATAAATATAAAATTTTTGTCTGTAAATGCTATCCAGTAGTGTGTCCTATATGTCAAAGATTTCTTTCATGAGGCGTAAATTCTCATTTTTCTTTGTTTTGTGTAGATGTTTCTTTCTCAGCAAAATAGAGGAGAAACTTACTCTTCCAGATGATCACAGTATGGACATAGATGGGGATGCAGATTCCTGTGACAGGATGGAAGGGCGGGAGCAGGAAGAAGACATTTGCTCTCTGGTCAAGAGCTGTAAGTTTTCCATGAAAATGAAGATGATAGAGAGCGCAAGGAAGCAGGTAGGTACTCAGATTTATGTACCTCGGTTGCAGGCTCCTTCTGGGCCCTGGTCGGGGTGCGTGCATGAGGCAAACAATTGATGTGTTTCTCTCACATCGATATATCTCTCTATCTTTCCCTCTCTCTTCCACTCTCTAAAAATAAATGGAAAAATATCCTCGGGTGAGGATTAAAAAAACAACCAAAATAATTATTTTCTGTTATTGAAAAAGGAAATAAGCTTAATATCAGGTTTGAGCTTTAGCAAAATGAATGCTTGCCAGTTAGTTACAAATTATATTTAGATTTAGTTTGTAGAATTCTATCATTTGATAATTGGACCCTTTATTAACATATAATCATGCTTTACTTAAAAGTTGCATATAAACTATTTAAGTGTATCAAATCATATTTGAACAGACTGGGAGAGCTTGTTTTTTTTAATAACCCTAAATTGATTGCTATTATAAAACAAAGAATGTTGCTTTCTACTTCTAGTAGAAGTAATAAATATTTCTGTTTTGTAAGTTTGTGTTCACGTATAGATTTTTCTCTGAGATAGATGTTATATCATTTAGGAATCTTCATATTACAAATAACAGAAAACCCAACCCAAAGCAGCCCAAGTGAATAAAGGAAAGTTGTTAGTACCCATAAATGAAAAGTCTAGAAGAGCTAGCTTTCAAAGACTAGGACCTGCTTTCTCTCCGTGGGTTCTCCCTTCCACCGTAGTGGTTCAGTGCTCAGACCCTACATAGCAGCACTCTCTGGCAGCTCCAGGTCACCATTTGTGGTTGGAAATAGCTGTGAATGTTTTATACCTTACTTCTTCCATACCACATCTTCCCGGAAATGGTTTTTCTCTTATTTCTTGGCAAAAATGAAACCAAACAAAAAAAGCATGTTTGGTTTTTTTTCCAGAAAGCACCAGCCATTGTCTCCCACTACTTTAGCTCGATTACAAGCAGGAGAGGCCATCCATGACACATGGCTGAGGAGGGGTGCGTGTAGCTTCTTAGTGGGAAGTCAGGGTGTTCATCCCAGATGGAGAGACAAAGAATGCTCTCTACTGCTGCACTGCTGCTCAGAGTTCCCCACCTGGGGGGAGAGGGGGGAGCATGATGAGAAAAGAGGAGGAAAGAAACGGATCATAAATATATTAGTTGGAAATATGTGAAAACCACCAAAAATACCCAAATATCTTTCATGTGGCACATTGGCTTTTCAGAATTTTTCTGCAATATTCACACATAAAAAATGGGGTAAATAGAGTTAGTTATCAATACCAGTAATGTTGGAGATGGAGAGAAAAGGAACAATTTAAGTCATCAGATGATATAAAACCTTCAGTTTATTTTAATTTACCTTCTCATATTCTTCAAAATGTCAAAAGTAGCAGAAGTGAAATTTGAGTTTTGCCTTTTTTTTATTACCAAGCATTTCATTAGGTGCTAGAGATACCATGTTGAACAAAATAGAGACAAGTGGACAAACAATTATAATACATAACATTAAAAACCTCATGGGAAGGACACCTGACAGTCATGGAAACAAAGGAAGCTTGGAGTAGAAGGTGATGTCTAAGTTGGGAACTCAAGGATGAAATAGGGTAGCAGGAATAACACATAAGACCCAGGAGTGACCCTGAGTGGAGCAGAGGTTAAATTTCAGCGCCTACTAAATGGCTGTGCAACTTTGTGCAAGAAAGCTCTGCGATCAGGGTGATCAGATGTGCAATTTTAAAATGCATTTTGGATGTAGTGAGAAGAAATGATCTAAGAAAGGGCAAAGGATTAGCAAGCTTTTATATTAATCCATGTGAGAGATGATGGTGGCCATATCTAGGTTAGAGGTCATGGAAATGGAGGTGAGTGGGCAGATTTAAGAAAATTGAGAGGGTTTGCTCAAATGAGACATGATGACTAGTTGTGTTTGTGAGGAGGAAGGATGATAACCAGGTTTTTAACCTGAGAAGCTGGGTGGATGGGGATAAAGAAGGAAGAGTAGTTTGTGGGGCAGATGATATCTTCAGTTTGAGACATGTTGAATTTGCAAGGCCTTGAAGACAAGTTGTAATTTCCCTTCACTAAGTTGTACATAAGAAATTTGAAGCTCTGGAGAAAAAGAGTTATGCTAGCAATAGAGGTCTCAATGTGATTAGCATGTGGATAGTCATTGAAACCATGGAAGGAGATAAGATAACCAGGATCAGTCCCCAAAACAGACCAACAGTTTTGGGGTGAACACAGGAGGAGGAGCCTACAAAGGCACTGTGAGACCACAGGGTAAGAACCAGAAATTACCAGTGTCAGTTACCAAAGAGAGTGAAGGTTTTCAAGATTGAAAAGTGCCCTTGCATGTAACATAAGGAGGTTGCTGTTGAGTTTGGTGAGAACTATTTCACTGGAGTAACAGAAGTCAGATTATAATGGATGGTGGACTGGGTAAAAGCTGGAGGAGAGAATATAGACAGTGAGCACAGGCTGCTCCTAAAGAAGCCATGACCAGAAGCAAGGGAGGTCAGGAGGAATTCTTTCTAGGATAAAAGAGACAGGAGATGTTTAAATCCTAATGGAAGGAACTAATCAGGAGGGATTGGACATACAGAGGAGGAGTAACTGGTGAAATAAGATTCCTTGTGGAGGCTGGTGGGGACAGGACTCGGGGCAAAGGTGAGTCTGCTATCAGAATGGAGGACGGGAAGGAAGAATGCGCTTCCACGTGAGGAAGAGTGAGAGAGCTCATCTGTTTTCTCTGAGAAGTAGGAGGTGAAGTCAGCTGCAGCGAGTGAGCCGGAAGGAGATTGAGGAAAGTGAGGAGGTTTAAAGATTTCTCTGGGTTGTGTGGGGAAAGCTGACCACACTCGGATTTTTAGACAGCACTGAACCGGCTGGTGTTGTCTGCAGTGACGTACGTGTAAGAGCAGAAAAGGCTTGCATTTTGATGAACACAGAGTGTGGTTTTGCCAGATAGGGGTGACACCTGGCAAATGACACCTAAAGGCTAATGATATGAGAATATCACTAAGAGAATGGTGGGGATGATGGGTTTGCTTAGTTGGACATGGAAGGAAGTAAAAGCAGAAAGAAGGCAGGTCTTAAGTAGATTATAAAGTTATGATAGCAGGAACTTGGTGCATAGGAGAGAAGGTTTGTGTTCTGTCCCAGCACTCACTGCTACAGCTTCTTCTGCGGTCCCCTGCTAGCTCCCGGAGCCTGAGGGGAGATGGCCAGGCTTGGTGGCTTTGTTTTTCAGCTTGGCATTGGCAGTTGCCAGACAGCTATGGCTGCACCTTGGTCCTTCATCCCTGCCCAGGACACTGGGTTTAGCTGCAATGCATAGCAGCCACTCCCACAGGAATGCTCACTGCATCCCTCTCCCGGTCCTGGCTGAAGGGAGTGCCAGTGGCAACCTGATTCTTCCCCGGCTGAGACCAGCAGTGACCTCCCGGCTGCCTCTCTGGCACCCTCTCAGCAGTGCTCCCTTCCCACTCACCTTACAGTGTTTCAATACACGGATCTCTCATACGTGTTTCTGTGTTGAGCAGCATATTCATTCTTAAACTTGTAACTGTTCAAATTGTTGTAACTTCAAGGGAGAGATCAAGGGGACCTCTCGTGCCACGATTCCTCTGACATCAAAGGTTTCTTTGGGGTTGATGAACATGTTCTGAATGAGACAGTGGTGATGATTGCCCAGCTTTTGAATATATTAAAAGACACTGAATTGCATACTGTAAATGTGAATTATATCCACGTGATAAATAAAAAGACATTTAATGTAAGCTAAGGAGATGGATTAGCTGCTCTAAGGTGAATTGTCATACATAAAGGAAACCAGGCCAATTAACAAAAAACTTCTTTTGTAAAATGCTTTTATTTCTAAATTTACATTTATGTCATTGTACTCCTTTCTCTCTTCTATTATATAGAACAATTTCTCACTTGCCTTGAAACTATTGAAGGACCTGCATAAAGAATCAAAAACAAGAGATGAGTGGCTGGTGAGATGGGTGCATAGCTACTGTCGGCTCAGACACAGCCAGAGCCAGACCCAGAATCGTCCGGAGCAGATTCTTTCCGTGTTGAAAACAGTCTCTTTGTTGGGTATGAAACTGCTCTATCTATACAAGTTTAAGAATGCTATTCTATATTACATCTCTGTAGTCTTCTAAAGCTATTATTTGTGTTGATTTGTCTGACATTGGCAATTAAGTATTTATAATTTTATTAAATATTTGGAGCCAAGGTACTTTATAGTTTAGTATTGCTAGTGCATACGACATTTGGAGCTTTTATTTCTGTATCTATAAAATGGAATTGAAAGTAAAAGCCTCTTTCATATTTAGTTAAATTATGAATCTTAATGTTTACATATAAGAATTACTTTGTAAAATAAGACATTAAAAAGCTTTTTTCTTCTTCAGATCTTCTCTTTTCATAACAATATACCTGTTAAGACTCGGGGGAGAAAACCTTTCTCTTAATTATTTTTTGGACCTGGTATGCTAGCTCTGTTACCATATATCCAAAGGCACATAGGAGCACCATTATGGAACATGCTCCCAATTATATTTCCAAATTTGACTCTTCAGCAGGACAGGGTATCATATCAGAGTATCTGCCTCAGTAAATATGCAGACAAGAAAAACAGTCTTTCTATATTGGTCCCAGGATCAGAAAATCATCCTTACAATGGTTTAAATATTTAATGGGTTTTTTTGTTTGTTTGTTTGTTTGTTTTTGAGGGGGATGGAGGGATAGGGGGAGTGTGCTGATATGAAGATAAAAGTTGGTACTTATAAAAATAATTTTACTGATTTAGTAGTTAAGGTTTGGCTGACTTTGAATCAGCCTTGTGAAATAAGCAGAGCCAGTGGTTATGGTTGTGTATGTGAGACGAATCAGTCAGAGGATGGTCATCCCATGGATGAGCAGGTGGTGTGGTTGATGGCCTTTGCTGAGACAGCACCCTTTCTCTTTCACACCGCCTTCTCACATCTCTCACATCTCTCACACCACCTTCCACATCGCTGCAAGATTATCCAAGGCTGGATCATCTTTCCTAGAGTCACACAGTAACATGAAAAACCAGACCTTTACTTCAAAAATTTTTTTAACTACAGTTGACTTTCAATATTATACTAGTTTCAGGTGTACAGTATAGTGGTTAGATAGTTAAATAATTTACAAAGCGATCCCTTGGTGAATCTTGCACCATCTGGCACCATATATAGTTATTATAATATTATTAACTATATTCTCTATACCTTATAGCTCCATGGCTGTTTTGTAACTGCCACTTTGTACTTCTTAATCCCTTCATTTTTTCAGTTAGCCTCAGCCCTCCTTCCATCGGGCAAGCATCAGTTTGTTTTGTTATTTATGAGTTTGTTTCTGTTTTCTTAGTTCATTTATTTTGTTCTTCAGATTCCACATATATGTGAAATCATAGAGTATTTGTTTTTCTCTTTCTGACTTATTTCACTTAGCACACTATCCTGTAGGTCAGTGATGGCGAACCTATGTCACGCGTGTCAGAGGTGACACGCGAACTCATTTTTTTGGTTGATTTTTCTTTGTTAAATGGAATTTAAATATATAAAATAAATATCAGAAATATAAGTCTTTGTTTTACTATGGTTGCAAATATCAAAAAATTTCTATATGTGACACGGCACGAGAGTTAAGTTAGGGTTTTTCAAAATGCTGACACGCCGAGCTCAAAAGGTTCACCATCACTGCTCTAGGTTCATCTATGCTGTTGCAAATGGTATGATTTCATTATTTTTCACAGCTGAATAATCATGGTATATATGTACCACATCGTCTTTATCATTTTGTCTTTTTTTTTCTTTATTTTTATTGTTGACACTGTTAGAGATATCCCCCCCTTTTCCCATCTCCACCCAGCCCTCGTGCGCTGCCCCTCACGCCTTCACCACACTGTTGTCTGTGTCCATAGGTGATGCAGATACCTTCTTTGACTAATCTCTTCACCTTCCTTCATCCAGTTAACCCAACTCCTTTGCTCACTCTCTTCTCCTCTGTACCCCTATGATGCAGCTGTTGTTAGGTTTTCATATTGTCGCGAAGTTCTTTCGAACTATCCTTATTCTTTTTTTTGGGGGGGGGTAATGTATTTTTATTGATTTCAGAGAAGGGAGAGGGAGAGAGAGATAGAAACATTCATGATGAGAGAGAATCATTGATTGGCTGCCTCCTGCACACCCCCTATAGGGGAGCATTGATTGGCTTGCAACCCGGGCATGTGCCCTTGGCCAGAATCGAACCCAGGACCCTTCAGTTTGCAGGCTGACGCTCTATCCACTGAGCCAAGCCGGTTAGGGCTATCCTTAGTCTTTTTAATTCTTTTTTCCTTTTGCTGCTCTGGTTTGTGTTTTTTTCTCCCTTGTCACTCAAATCACTGATTCAGTCCTCTGCTTTATCTAACCTACTTTCATTCCTTCCAGTGTATTTGATGCTAGATATGGTACTCTTGATTTCCGACTGTTATTTTTCATGAGTTTATGTTTTTTTCATGCTATTGTAGCTCTTACTAAGTTCCTTGAGCATCTTTATAACCATTACTTTGAATTATATATCTGATATTTTACTTGTCTCCATTTAATTTAGCTCTTTTTCTGGAGATTCCGCTGTGTTTTCATTTGGGACCTATTTCTTTGTGCCCCATTTTGGCTGTCTCTTTGTGTTTGTTACTATTTATTAGATAGAACTGCTGTGACTCCCAGTGTTCATGGGGTTGCCTATGGAGTGTGTCCTATGGGACCCAGTGGAGCAGCTCCTTGATCGCCTGAGCTGGATGCTCTAGGAAGGTCTCTTGTGTGGGTTATGTGGGCCCTCCTTTTGTAATTGAGTCTTGATTGCCGTTGGCCCATTTGTGGGTGGGATCTCGCCTCAGGCTGGCTGGCTGTGAGGCTCCATCCCGACCATGGTGTGCAAGCTGCTGTGTAGGTGCAGTCTGGCGGTTCTTGTTGGGCTGTGGCACAGTCTTCCACATCGTCTGAGCTCCGTGCTCCAGGAAAGTCTCTTGTGAAGTATGTGTGTGTCACCCCCCCAACCCCCCCAACCCCTTGTTGTAGTTGAGGCTTGATTGCTGTTGGCCCTTTTGTGGGTGGAGTTAACCCTTCAGGCTCGGTGACTACAGATGGTTACCATTTACTGTGCGGGGGCTGTTCCCTGAGCAGGGGTTGCTCCCAGCATGGCCTGGTGCCTGCCAGGATCCACCCTTGGGTGTGCTGCTTGTGTAGCTAGTTTGGTTGAGCTCTAGTGTGGTCTGAAGCTCGTTACTGGTTGTGTTGGTTCTGGGTCCATTTGGATGGGGTTCAGGTGCAGGCTGCTGTCAGACATTGTGTGTGACCAGCCTTGGGCTACCTCTCCGAAGCTACAGTGCTGTTCACTGTGTGTGTCGGTGTTGACTGGACCTGTGTGTACGTGAGAGGGGCTAATCTGTAAAAGGGTCGGCTTCTTCCAGCTTCGAGCTGGGAGCAAATCTGTGGTAAGACCCAGGTTCCCTGAGGTCTGCCTGCCTGTCGGCTTCTCTGCCTTTCCCTTGAGGTTCCTGGTCTTCCTCCCCCACCTTCTGAAGAGAGACTAGGATGAACCCAGGTTAGCTGAGATGGGCCTAGTGGGTCCCCTACTTGGGGATCACGCAGTCAGGCACGCAATGAAGGGAAAGTAGTCCTGGCTTCAAAGCCAAATCCCTCCGTCTCTGCCCGAGACTCCAACTCTAGCTGCCCCCTAGGTGGTCTCACTGCAGGTTCAGGTTGGGCCTTCTTTTGGATGTTCTGGGTCTCTGTGACCCAGCTGCAGTTTGTTAGGTAATTTTAGATTGCAAAGGGCCAGGGCATTCATATACAAAAGCCTCTGCACGCACCTTGGGTGGGGTGGGGTCTCAGGGAATCAACAGGGCAGAGAAAGCAGCTATGGCTGATCCTCAGCCCTGCCCTAAGAGGCCCCGAGTCTCTGTCCCACGGTAATCACTGCAAGTACCTCTGAGAGAAAGCCACCCTCGAGTTCCGACCAATGCCAGACAGTTCAGTTTCTCCCCGTATGAGTCTGGGTCCCCAGAGACTCGCCCGGAACTGGAGTTCAGAGCTGTCGGGAGCTTGTGTCTCCCTCCCGATTCAAAAAGACAGCCGCATCCTCAGTTGCCAGCCCTTTCCGTGTGCGCCTCCGTACCTCTGCACTTTACTTCCGTACCTCCTCTGAGTCTCAGTGTGCTTTTCTCTTTCCTTCTAGTTGTAGAATTTCCACTCAGCCAGCCTTCCTGTGGTTCTGGATGATGTCCGTTTTGTCTTTTAGTTGTATTTTTGAAGTGGTTGTGCGAGGCAGCAATTTCAGGTGTTTACCTATGCCACCATCTTGGTTCCGTATCTCACTTGGTTTTCCAACTTGATTGCTCTGTAATTGCACTGTAAATCCGGTTTGGGGCTGGGAGCAGGTGTGCACAGCTTCCAGCTACTCTGCAGCCATCTTGGAAAGCTCCTATCCTTTTGTCTTTCGATTTGAGTATTTAATCCATTTACATTTAAAATAAGTAGTAATAGTATGAAGTTACAGCCATTTTATTAATGTTTCTGTAGTTCTTCTCTGTTCCTTTCTTATTCTCTTATTCTCTTCTCTCATGTGTTGATAACTTTCTGTAGTATTATATTCGGATTTCTTTCTCTTTATTTCCTGTATATTCTTGTACATTTTTGCTTTGTGGTTACCTTGTACTTGATATATACCAAGCTGTGTTTATGGCAGTGTATTTTAAGTTGATGGTTGCTTAAGTTTTAAGACATAATAAACTCACTACTATTTTTACTTACCCCCTTCACGTTTATGTTTTTGTCATCATTTTTCTACTTCTTTTACGCGTGTGTTTGTGTGTATCCCTTAATTTACAGTTGTATTTACTCATGATCTTCCTACTTTTGCCTTTTAACCTTTATACTAGCTTTAGTGTTCATTGATTCACTGATTTTATTATGTTTGCTTTTGTCAGAATTTTTTCTTTGCAATATTTTCTTATTCATATTTTCTTCTTAAAAAGGTCCCTTTACAGTTTATTGTAATACTGTTTTGATGGTGATGAGCTCCTTCAGCTTTTTTTTTTTAAACGGGAAGAATCAGACCTTTAAATGTGGCAGTCTCTAGTCTCTGTTGTTTTATCAGCAACAGGTAATAGTATCAATTAAAAAACTCTGGGTTCCCCACTGGGTTTGGCTCAGTGGAAAGAGAGTTGGCCTGTGAAGGGTCCTGGATTCGATTCTGGTCAAGGGCACATGCCTGGGTTGTGGGCTCAATCCCCAGTGCGGGTCGTGCAGGAGGCAGCCAATAGATGATTCTCTCTCATCATTGATGTTTCCATCTCTCCCTTTCCCTTCCTCTCTGAAATCAATAAAAATATATTTTTAAAAAAGAAAGGAAAAACACATACACAAAAAAACTATGGGTTATTCATGGCTATGCATAAATCCATTTCTTATTCTTTGTAACAGATAGAATTAGGTGCTGTGACAAAATGCAGAATGATGATACTTGAATAAAAGTTAGTATTTTATTTGCTTAGCCTCTGTGTACTTAGATATGGTCACTGCTAACAAAGAACATTTTTCATTAATATTAGTTCAAGACTACCTAACCAGTGTGTGAAGTTAGTTTCTTATAACATCAAGATTTATTTTAGTTAATTTCTTAGTAGAAAACAACTTTTATATACTATAAACTTTTTTTTTACCTTATCGTATTAATTTACTTCTGAAAGAAATCCTGTGTGAATTTGTATGTGTGTGTGTGTTTAATCCAATAGGTGAGAACACATCAAGCTACTTAAGCAAAAATATTTTGGCTTTCCGTGACCATAATGTTCTCTTGGGTACAACTTACCGGATCATAGCTAATGCTCTCAGCAGTGAGCCAAGCTGCCTTGCTGAAATTGAGGAAAGCAAGGCTAGAAGAATCTTGGAACTTTCTGGATCCACTTCAGAGAATGTAGAAAAGGTAATGTTTATTACGAGAGTGAACTTTTCGTGTTTGCATGTTGTATGTCTTTACTGTGCGACCTTTTGGCTGCATGAAAGAAATAATGGGTAGAGGGCAGAGTCAAGATCAACTGAAGTGGAGTAGGTCAACTGAACTTGCCACCTCCTGAGATCACATCATAATTACAACTCAGTGATAGAACGAACCACCTGAACCTTTGCTGAGCAGAATGCCTATAACTAAAGATATAAGGAAAAAACCACATCAAGACAGGTAGCGGGGGTCCGATTGCAGACCAGTAGGTCTTCCATCCACAGTGTGGCAATTAAGAAATGAGAGGAATGGATTGGCTTTGTAGGCCCCTCTGAGGAGCAAGGGGGGGTCTCAGCCCCACACCAGCCTCCCTAGCCCAGGGCACCTGTGCTGGACAGAGGAGTCCCCATACATCTGGCTTTGAACACCAACAGAGATGATGTTGAGAGGCAAATGGCTCTGTGAGACTGAAATGCCACTTCTAAAGGGCCCATGCAGAAATTCACCGGCTCTAAGCCTGAGATACATGGAGAGGAACTATTGAATAACTTCAGAGAGAGGGCTGCAGGGTTAGGGAACAGGGTAACCCTCTCAGGGAAGAGAAACACTAGTAGGCATGCCATTTCCTTCGTTGAACTCTTTTTCCCACCCAACTGGGCCAGCACCGGTGGGCACTACATCTGTGCTCTCCATGAACCTGGCTAACATTTGCCCTACCCCATATTTCCCTGATAACCCAAGCCCTTGATTACTGTGCCCTCCCTGGCCTCTTTCATCTGCCTGTCTCCATGAGCAGCCTGCCTAGCTTATATTGCAAACTCTCCAAAAATCCACAAACCTCACAAGAGTGTTGTCTAGCCTTGGCTCATGGATCAGACTCTCAGAAGTCTATAACTTCACACAAGCGGTAGCCAGCATCAATGTGCGTTGTAGCTCCTGCCAGGTGGCCCCAACACAATAGCCACCGGCTTTAGCTTACATTGTATTTCCCACTAGGTGGCCCCAAACTTTGAGTAAGTGTTGGCCAATCTTAGATCCAACTGAGCAGCCACAAGCCCAGCACAAGCAATAGCTGGCTTGGCTCTTTCATGCACTTCGAAGCCCAACACAAGCAGCTACCAACTGCAGATCAATTTGTAGCTCCTACCAGGTGACCACAAACCAGGCACAAGCTGTGCTGACCCTAACCCATACCAAAGCCCCTCTCAAGAGGATCCAGACACAACACACCCATTGGACAGTCTCAGCTGGCACCAGAGCCCCATAAAGCAACTCCCACTTTGTGGAATCAGCCCCTGCTCAAGAGCTCATCCACTGAAGTCACATATGACTCTCACAGCCAGTCACCCTGAGTGCCAGCCCCTCCCACTGGCATTCCAGCAGCCATTGAGGCCCAACTACATCAGGACGGCACATATAACCCCCACACAGACACCACTAGCACCTGGCTACGTAAGGCCAATCTTTCAAGAATAAGAGATGGAACAGATATATCTAGTATATGGAAACAAACACAGAGAGTCAGCAAAAATGAGGAGACAAAGGAACAGGTCCCAAACTATAAAACAGAACAAAACTTCAGGAAAAAAATATAAATGAAACAGAGACAAACAATCTACTAGGTAAAGAGTTCAAAGCACTGGTTATAATATGCTCAGTGAACATGGGAGAAGAACAGAAGAACTCAAGGAGAACTTAAAGAGATGGAAAATATAATAAAGAACCAGTCAGCGTTTAAGGCTACAAAACTGAATAAAGAATATGCAGATTAAATGAAGCAGGGAATCGAATCAGCGATTTGGAAGACAAGGTAGCAGAAAACACCAAATCAGAACAGCTAAAAAGAAAAAATAATTTAAATAATGAGGATAGTTTAAGGGACCTGTGGGGACAATATTAATGGCACCAACATTTACATTTTAGTGGTCCCAATCAGAGAAGAGATAAAGACAGATTCAAATTCTATTTGAAGAAATAATGACTGAAAAATTTCCTAAACTCTTGACGGAAATACACTTCCAGGTACAAGAAGTGTAGAGAGTCCTAAATAAGATGAACCCAAAGAGCCCTAGCCCTGGCTGGTGTTTCTCAATGGTTAGAGCGTTCACCCACGCACCTAAGGGTTGCGGGTTCAATTCTTGCTCAAGAGTACATGCCTGGGTTGTGCTTCGCTCCCTTCCCCCAGTTAGTGAGCGAGCAGGACACAGCCAGTTGATGTGTCTCTCTCACATTGATGTTTTACTCTCTGTCTCTCTGCCCCTCCCCCCCATCTTCCTCCCTCTCTTCCACTCTCTCTGAAAAAGCAATGGAAAACATATCCTAGGTGAGGGGGAAGAAAAATGAACCCAAAGAGACCTACAACTAAAATGCCTAAGATTAAAGACAAAGAGAATACTAAAAGTATCATGCGAAAATCATCAACTTACATGCAAGGGATTTCTTGTAAGACCATCAGATGATTTTTCAACAGAAGCTTTGCAGGCCCAAAGGTCAATTACATGTTCTATTAAAAGTGATAAAAGATAAAACTTATAACCAAGATTATTCTATCCAGCAAGGTTATCTTTTAGAATTGTAGGAAAGATATTTTCCCAGGCAAACAAAAGATGAAGGAATCAGTCACTACTAAATTAGCAGTACATGAAATCTTGACGGGACTTCTTTAAGTAGAAAAATAGAAAAAATTAAAATAAAATGTAGAACAGAAAAAAATCTCACAAAGGCAAATAGTAAGAACAGTGAATCAATAAAAAAGTCAAAAGTATGAATTTATGTGTAAATACAATAGTAAGGAATACACACACACAAAGAGGTAAAATATAATGACAAAAACATGTGGGGGAGAAGAGGGAGACAGAAAATCAACAAGGAAACCATGGCGTTGAATGACACATTATAGCAGGTGGATTTAATTGATATTTTTAGACATTTCACCCCAAAAAGGCAGAATATACATGGGCACATGAGACATTTTCCAGATTAGACCACATGCTAAGCCACAAAACAAGACTCAATAAATGTAAGGGGATGAAATCATATCAAGCATGTTCTGTGATCACAATGGTATGAAATTAGAAATGAAATTCAAGTAGAAAACTGGGAAACATACAAACACATGGAAGATAAACAACATGCTACTAATTAATAAATGGGTTAACTATGAGATCAAGGAGGATTCAAGATACGTTGAGACAGGAGTCCGAGCAAGATGGCAGCATAGGTAAACACCGGAGACTGCTGCCGCAAACAACCACTTCAAAAATACAACTAAAAGACGGAACGGACATCACCCAGAACCACAGGAAGGCTGGCTGAGGAGAGACTCTTCAACTAGAAGGAAAGACATCAGCACACCGAGGCTCAGAGGAGGCGCAGTGTGGAAAATACTCAGGTGCGGAGGTGCGCGCGCAAAGCGGGCTGGTGGCTGAGAGCGCGGTTGTCGTTTTCGGTCAGGGGGGAGTCTCAGACTCTGAGCTCCAGATACGGGCGAATCGCTGGGGACTCGGACCCAAACGGGAGAAGCGGGAGTGTCTGGCATCAGTTGGAAGGCAGCTTTCCCTCCGAGGTTTGCAGCGGTTCCGGGGGTTCTGAGAAGCAGAGCCTCTGGGAACAGGACTGAGGGCACCATAACGGCTCCCTCCGCCCGCCCTGTTGAGCCCGCCCCGCCCAAGCCCTGCGCAGAGCCATTTGCCGGATCGCCTCAGGCAAAGGCTAGATTAGCACCTCCCCAGAGGACAGAAGTTTTCCGCGGCAGACACAGCTGATTCACACAGCCAGTCGGCCTGGTGGTCAAATCCCTCTAGTATTAACTACAACAATCAAGGCTCAACTAGAACAAGACTGCGCACAAAGACCACTAGGGGGTGCACCAAGAAAGCATAAAAAATGCGGAGACAAAAAAACATGACAGAAATGGAGGATATAGGGGGTGGGAACCGGGTGGAGGGAAGCTATGGGGGGAAAAAAGAGGAACAACTGTAACCTGAACAATAAAGATTTAATAATAATAAAAAAAAAGATACGTTGAGACAAATGAAAATGAAACAATGACCCAAAGTATGAGAATAATCAAAGCATTTCTAAGAGGGAAATCTATAGCAATACAGGCCTGCCTTAAGAAACAAGAAAAATCTCAAACAATCTAAAATTAATACCTAAAGGAACTAGAAAAAGAAGAGCAAACAAAGCCCAAAGTGAGTAGAAAGAAGAAAAAAAAAGATACGTTGAGACAAATGAAAATGAAACAATGACCCAAAGTATGAGAATAATCAAAGCATTTCTAAGAGGGAAATCTATAGCAATACAGGCCTGCCTTAAGAAACAAGAAAAATCTCAAACAATCTAAAATTAATACCTAAAGGAACTAGAAAAAGAAGAGCAAACAAAGCCCAAAGTGAGTAGAAAGAAGGAAATAATAAAGATCAAAGCAGAAATAAATGAGAGAGTCTTAAAAAAAAACAGAAAAGGTCAATGAAAACAAGAGCTGGCTCTTTGAAAAGACAAAATTGACAAATCTTTAATTACTGGCAGACTCACCAAGAAAAAAAGAGAGGACCCAAATAAATCAGTAATGAAAGGGGAGAAGTGACAACAAATTATACAAATCGGGAAGAAAGAAAATTTGAACAGAATGATAACTAGTAATGAAATTGAATCAGTTATCATAAAACACCCACTAAGTAAAAGTTTTTGACCAGATGGCTTCATAGGTGAATTCTACCAATATTCAAAGTAAAATTAAGGCCTACTCTCTAATTATTCCAAAAAATTAAAGAAGAAAATATTCCCAAACTCATTTTACAAAGCCAGCATTACCCCGATACCAAAACTAGACAGACATTAAAAAATAAAATAAAAGAAAAATTACTGATCAATATCCCTGATGAACAGACACGCAAAAATTCTAATCAAATTATTAGCAATCCAAATTTAGCAATGTATTAAAAAGATCATATACTTTGATCGAGTGGGATTTATTCCAGAGGTGCAAGGTTTGTTTAATATCTGCAAATTAAGGTGATGACTCCACATAAACAGAAGGATAAAAACTCTCAGAAAAGCAGGGACAGAGGGAACATACCACAGCATAATAAAGGCCATATATGACAAACCCACAGCTCACATCATACTCTATGGTGAAAAGCTGGAAGTTTTTTCCTTAGTATCAGGAACAGGAAAAGGATGTCCACTTTCACCACTTTTATTCAACACAGTATTGGAAGTCCTAGCTACAGCAATCAGACAAGAAAAAGTAATGAAATTATTCGAATTGGAAAGGAAGAAGTAAAACTTTCATTATTTTCACATGACCTGATACTATCTAGAGAGAACCCTAAAGGCTTCACTAAGAAAGCATTAAAACTAATTAATGAAGTCCATAAAGTAGCAAGATATAAAATTAATATTTAGAAATAATTGCACTTTCATATACCAATAACATACTATCAGAGAAATTAAGAAAGTCCCATTTACAATTGCACCAAAAAGAATAAAATACCGAGGGATAAATTTTTAACCAAAGGGTTAAGACTATTACTTGGAAAACGATAGGACATTGAAGAAATACATTGAAGAAGATACAAATAAATGAAAAGATATATATACCATGCTCATTGTTTGGAAGAATTAATATCATTTAAATGGCCATAACACTGGAAGGAAAATACAGATTCAATGTAATCTTGATCAAAATACCATGGCATTTTGCACAAAACTAGAAGAAATAATCCTAATATATTAATTGAGTCCCAAAAGATTGCCAGAGCAATCTTGAGAAAGAAAAACAAGTATCACAGTACCTGATATCAAACTATACAATAAGATTTTGTTTTGTTTTTTAAAATCTATTTTTAAATTAATTTCAGAGAGGAAGGAAGAGGGAGAGATAGAAACATCAATGATGAGAGAGAATCATTGATCTACTGCCTCCTGCACGCCCCCTACTGGGGATTGAGCCTGCAACCTGGGCATGTGCCCTGACTGGGAATTGAACCATGACCTTCTGGTTCATAGGTCAACGCTCAACCACTGAGCCACATCAGCTGGACTTCAACAAGGTTATAGTAATCAAAACAACATGATACTGGCATAAAAACAGAGATACATCAATGGAGCAGAATAGAGAGCCCAGAAAATCACACCTATGTGTTCAATTAAGCTATACTAAGGAGACAATATCCAGTGTGGTAAAGATAGTCTCTTCAATAGATGGTGTTGGAAAAGTGGACAGATAAATGCAAAGAAAGAAAGAAATGAGACCAGTTTTTTACACCATATAAAAAAATAAAATGGACTGTAGACTTAAATTTAAGAATTGAAACCATAAAATTCTTAGAAGAAAACATAGTCAATAATCTATTTTATATTGGACTTAGCAATGTTTTTTGGATATATGTCTCCTATGGCAAATACATCAAAAGCAAAAATAAACAAATGGGACTTCAATGGACTAAAAAGCTTTTACATTGCAAAGGAAACCATTAACAAAACAGAAAGACCACTTACTGAATGGTAGAAGATACTTGCCAATGATACATCTGATAGGTTAATATCCAAACTTTATAAAGAACACATACAACTCAACACCAAAAAAAAAATCTAATTAAAAAATGGGCAGAGGACCTGAATAAACACTTCTCCAAAGATGGCCAATAGACTTAATGAAAAGATGCCCATCATTAGTCATCAGGGAAATACAAATTAAAACCACAATAAGATTTTGTGTTGTTTTTTTAAAATATATTTTTTCATTAATTTCAGAAAGGAAGGAAGAGGGAGAGATAGAAACATCAATGATGAGAGAGAATCATTGATTGGCTGCCTCCTGCACGCCCCACACTGGGGACCGAACCTGCAACCCAGGCATGTGCCTTGACTGGGAATTGAAACGTGATCTCCTGGTTCATAGATCGACGCTCAACCACTGAGCAACACTGGTTGGGCTTAAATTCTTAATCTTTAAGGTTTTGTGATATACTTCCAGTAACTTCAGTCAATGGGAATTCTCAATAGTTGTCCGTTTTGCTGATTCCAAGGGGGAATCTGATTGCCAGTGGATTATCTATCTATTAAGTGAAGCACCAAACAAGAAAGAGATACTACAGTTTTGGGGCAAAATATAGAGCTCTGAAATTTCTTTATTCTACTTTGTTCCATTTTATTGCTTTTCAACTACTACTTAAAATGAAGATTTATTAGACAGTTTTAAAAAACAGTATGTTATTTGAATAATCATATACCAGTTTTCAAAAGAATGAATTATGGAAATTCACTCCCAATCTTTAGGAATTAGGTTAAATGCCTTTTTAAAAAATACATATATATATTTTATTGATTTTTTACAGAGAGGAAGGGAGAGAGATAGAGAGTTAGAAACATCGATGAGAGAGAAACATCAATCAGCTGCCTCCTGCACATCTCCTACTGGGGATGTGCCCGCAACCCAGGTACATGCCCTTGACCGGAATCGAACCTGGGACCCTTCAGTCCGCAGGCCCACGCTCTATCCACTGAGCCAAACCGGTTTCGGTGGTTAAATGCTTTTTGATAGCTGAGATGAGAGAGCCATTATTTCAGGATCCTAAGTAGGGTTAGTTTTAACCTGGACCTTAAAAACTAAAAAGGAATAAGTAGAGAAAATCTATAATAATAAAAGCGTAATATGCTAATTAGATCATACGTCCTTCTGGATGAAGCCGGGGCTGCTAGGGAAGCCCGGGTCCCAGGTGCCTGCTGGCGGCTGGAGGGAAGCCCGGGTCCTGGGTGCCAGAAGGAAGCCGGTGCCGGCAGCCGGGGGAAGGAAGGCCTACTCTTGCACAAATATCGTGCATTGGGCCTCTAGTAAATAAATAATGAGCATTACTTTGCGTTTTTATAATATATTTGACAGTTATGCCCAGCCAAATTTATTATGTGGAAAATGGATATATTCCATGTTTTTCCTGTTTATTTAAATGATTCACTTTTTTCAACATTAAAAATAAGAAATTTGTGTTGAAATGATGTGGATGGTTCTTGCATGACTTTTGTTAATGGAGTTTTCACCATCTGTCCCCACTCAGGTTTCCCACTAGTTTGTGGGACAAACCAGCCCTTTTCACTTTTTTTATTTAGTGCCTGCTTTTTAAAATCATTTTGTATTTTCATAGTTACCAGCCTCTCCTCATCTCACCAGGAGCCACCTCATTTTAGTTGTGTAGCCTTGCTTCTTCTTTTCACAATGTTACCGACATCTGTGCAGGACATTGGTCACAGGGAGCCAACTTCCAGCTCTTCAAATTCCTGACGGGCTGTGTGATCCACATGGACTTTTGGTGCCCACTCTGTGTGACTAGGGGACTATCTGGCCCACACGTGGCTTATTCTTTTATTTTATATGCTCAGGATCTTACTGGAATTGCTTACTCTTTCACAATCAGGGCAGACTCTCCCTTTTCCATTTAGCCAGCTTTCTCTATTTATTATTTTATTAGAGGCCTGGTGCATGAATTCGTGCATGGGTGGAGTCCCTTGGCCTGGCCGGCAATTGGGGTCAATTGGGGCCGGCCGGCCAGCGGGAAGGACCATAGGAGGTTGGCTGGCCAGGGGGAGGGACTGTGGGAGGTTGGCCAGCAGGGGGGAGGGGCCACAGGAGGTTGGCCAGCTGCAGGAGGTTGGCTATGGGAGCATACTGACCACCAGGGAACAGCTCCTGCATTGAGCATCTGCCCCCTGGTGGTCAGTGTGCATCATGGCTACCAGCCAGTCGTCCAGTCATATGGTTGCTTAGGTTTTTATATATATACTAGAGGCCTGGTGCACAAATTCGTGCACCAGTGGGGTCCCTCAGCCTGGCTTGCAGGATCGGGCCGAAACCGGCTCTCTGACATCCCCCAAGGGGTCCTGGATTGCGAGAGGGCAAAGGCCAGGCCGAGGGACCCCACCAGTGCATGATTGGGGTTGGGGAGGGACGTGGGAGGTTGGCCAGCTGGGGAGGGACCACAGGAGGATTCCAGGGCGTGTCCAGCCCCTCTCGCTCAGTCCCGATCGGCAGGACCCCAGCAGCAAGCTAACCTACCAGTTGGAGCATCTGCCCCCTGGTGGTCAGTGCACGTCATAGCGAGCAGTTGAGCCGCCTTAGCATATCATTAGCATATTACGCTTTGGTTGAACAGGCAACCGGACGACCGGACACTTAGCATATTAGGCTTTTATTATATAGGATTGATGACTAATGAATTACAAGTATTCTACCTTTATCCTCACAAGTAGAAAGTAGAGTTTGTCCACAAAACTTCAGTCCCACTGGCAGGTTTTCTGAGACCTCTGTGAATTCTAGGTGGTCACAGCGCTGCACCAGAGAGCATTTCATCACCTTTCCGAGGCCACGAGGACAGCTGAGGAGGAAGCCCCTTCCGGCCAGTGCCCGCAGCCCACAGCTGGGGTGGTAGATGCTTATATGGCACTGGTGGATTTCTGTGACCAACGGCTCCGGGAGGAGGAAGAGACTGCATCAGGTGACTTGCAAAAGAAAAGAAAATTGTGTCACATTAGGTTACTGTAAAGTCTAAGAACTTTGTACGTACTTTTGGTTTCCTATTTGTGTTTGCTTTAAATGAGAAAAGTCTTGCCTTTTTAAGAAGGAATGACATCTCCAAGCAGCATGACCTGCTTATCTTCTATCCTGGAGTCAAGCTGTCTTCCAGCTTTCCATTTACTTAACTTCCACTTTCATGTTTTGCTTGTTTGGTATTATTGGCTTTATGTGTCCTGACTCTTGTTCCTGGAATTAATTCAGGAACCAGTGGCTGCCCTTGATGTTCCCAGCCCAGGAAGCAAACCGTGCTTCATGCAGAATGGGTAATGTCATAGAACATTCAGTTTCGAGATAGAAACTTGTATCTGTAGTCCAAAATTGCTTCTGGTGTTTTAAAGAAGTTGTTAGGGAGGAAAAATGACATACTACAAAATATAAGCCAAAAGGGAAACTAGAATTACATGTTACATTTATAATTTATGTGTAAGTGGATATACTAGTATTGACCATGGCTGTTTTTATCCCTGTCCATGTTAGTTACTGAGTCCGTAGAACTGCAGACATATCCTGCCCTTGTGGTGGACAGAATGTTGAAAGCTTTAAAATTACACTCCAGTGAAGCCAGGCTGAAGTTTCCCAGGCTGCTGCAGATTATAGAGCAGTACCCAGAGGAGACCCTGAGCCTAATGACAAAAGAGGTGAGTGTCTGTATCTGTGGAACTTGAAGACATATTCCTATTTCTATCCAAGCACATTAATGTGTATAGTGCATATATTTTAGTTTTTCCTAACAAGCATATAATTTTACTACATTTCAAGAACATGTGTAATTTAAAACTGTATAAAGGAGTGTTCACATTTACCCATTTTCCTTAGTGGATGTTGATAACTCTGTCTGAACAAGGACCCCAAGGAACAGAGGAGGAGGTATATCTGGGACAGAGATGGGAATTTTCTGTAGTACAGTTTACTGTCCATAAAGACAAAGCTGTGGTCTTAGCACCTGTTGATGCCTGTGCTCAGTGCATTACTTAGTCCAGGGAGAAAGGAGTACATTTCAGCTGGCATCCCACCCCCAGTGCCTGTCGTGCCTGCAGCAGCACCGTGTGCGGAGGGACCCTGGGGCATCCGAACTCACAGTGTGCAGCTCGCGTGTGTGGGCGCACAGAAGCAGCCTGCAGTCCCACACATGTTCTGTTCACCAGCTTGTATGTCCTGCAGTCCTCGCCCTACACTGGGCTTCGTCACCCTGCTGCCTTCCTGTCTGTTAGGCACGCCTGTAAAAGGAGGGCTCCTTACTGACTTTTATAGATGTTTAACTGAAAATAGGGAACCTTTGAGTTGATAACGTAAAAGTAGTTCAAAAACAGTGATACAATACGAGCGGTCTGAGCAAGTTTTTACACAATGCAGGTCTCTGAGCTGAGACGCAGGGCCTGCCAGGGCTTTCCCACTCCTCTGACCCTGGCCCTGTGGATTGGGAGCGGTGGGGCTGTTTCCGTAGGTCTTAAACAGCAGATTAACTTTAGAAATGCACTATAGGTGTGCTTTTCCTAAAGACAAGTGAAGAAATAAGTTATAATTTCATTTTTTAATTATTTTATTTATATATTTAATAAAGATAGCATTTTCACTTTTTGAGAAAATAGGTGAGGTAGTAAGTCAATGTTATGACACTGGGGGAGGCACTTGAGATGGGGCAGCTCACCTCTACTGTGTGCTCCCTGTGGCTGTGTATTCTGATACATTTTATGCTCACACACCCTTCTCTCCCCTCATTTATGGGTAAAGGTAGGAAGCTTGCCCACAGTCACTCCTCATGCCAATCTGCCAAGTATGTCAGATTTTATCTTAAAATTAACACCTTAAAAAGCATTTTAATTTTGAATAAATTTTGAAAATGGTCTTGGTGTAAAGAAACAAAAACCAGAAGCCATAAAGAAAAATAATTTGATACTTCTACGCAGGAAAAGAAAATATTCCATATACAAAGTTTAAAAAACTGGGAGAAAAATATTTTCAGTGCTAATTATTAGAGACAGGGTTGAGGTCTGCACTCTACACAACAAATGGACCAGTCGAGAATGGTTAAGGGGAATGCACACGTGATTATTGTAGGCAGCACACATAAACAGGCTGTTTACTTAAAAGCTTTTTTGTTGTTACGAGCTGATTTGCCTCATTAATAATGAAACATGAAAATTAAAATCAGATTTTCCCTTCTCAGATTGATAATGAATTTTTTAAAAATTGGTTGTGTCCAAAGTTTTTTTCAGTGCAGTTTATATTCAATAATATTTATGTTAGTTCCAGGTGTACAGCATAGTGGTTAGACAATCATATACTTTACAAAGAGTTCCCCCTGATATTTTCAGTACCCACCCTGGCCATAGTGATCAAAACAGCATGGTACTGGCAGAATTCACTTTCAGAAGTGCAGATTGGAAAAGTTTTTTTGGAGAGAGATCTAGCAATGTTTTTTACAGTTGTTAATGTTCACACAGTAATTTTACTTCTAGGAATTTATCCTATTAGTGTATAGCACACATACAATAGGGATGTCCACTGTAGCATTATCTGTAATAGCAAAAATTAGAAAATACCCAAAAAATTCATTTTAGGGCAATAGTTAAATGAAATAGAATATTATGTTGCCGTTAAAAGGAATGAAGTAAATTTGTCTAAGAAAAACCAGCAACAGTATGCCTAGTCTGATTCCAGTCTTGTAAGGAAAGGATATATGTGTACATACCTAGAAAATGTCTGGAAGAATTGCATGGTTCACAGTGGAACAGGAATTGAGAGAGCTGAGGGAGAGAAAACTGTATTTTATATTGGTCTGTTTTGATACTTCTGATTATAAATATATGTACTTTTTATATTGGACACATTGCTTTTATAACAAAACGTTTAATTTTTATTGATTATTAAGTTACAGCTCTCTGTGTTTTAGATTTCTTCCATCCCTTGCTGGCAGTTCATTGGCTGGATCAGCCACATGCTGGCCTTACTGGACAAGGAGGAGGCCGTGGCCATCCAGCACACGGTGGAAGAGATCGCTGACAACTACCCCCAGGCCATCGTCTACCCATTCATAATAAGCAGTGAAAGCTATTCCTTCAAAGATACTTCTGCTGGTCATAAGAATAAGGAGTTTGTGGCAAGGTGATATTGCAGAGAACTTGGGTTGATTTCTGCTGTAGTTAAATATTACAGTTTATAAACAATGTGTATGGTAAAAGCAAACACATGGAAGCTTATATTTGTCTTCAAATTAATTAGAGCTTTCACTAAAGACTAGAACATCTTAGGTATCTTTGTTAAATGTATCTACCCTGGGTATGCTGTTTGTTAGAATATCTTTTTTAAAATACATTTCCTTTTAGAATACTATTCATGGAACATTCTACCCTTATGCTAATAGCAATCTGTTGGTTGAAACAGGCTAGATGAAATGCTTTTTGAAATTAGTTCTTGAAATTCTTCTTTAATTGAAAATATCCAGGAAGGCCCGCTTCTTAATTAGGACTCAGTAGGCTGTCTGAAGTGTCATTCCTTTCACTTCTTCAGTTGATTATAAGTGGAGCTACAACTAGCAATGGTGTAATGCTTTTGCAAGAATACATTATAAAGCATGGTATCTTAGTAGAAATTCCCTGTCAAAAAGGGGATGTCTTTTTTGTTAGGATCTGATCTACTATATTATTTAGTGTTTTGTTTCTGAGAAGACAATAGAGTTAGGCATAGCTTTTATCATGGTTTGTCAATGGGTTAGCTCTGCACACACCACCTGCCACTGCTGGTGCCCCATTCCATGGTCTCTCAGCAGAGTCAGCTGCAACATGATTAACTATTTTAAAAGAAAGGAAAAAGTTTAAAAAATTTGTCGAGAAAGTGGCCTTTTCTTTCATAACATAACTTCAGACAGAATTGTATGTATCAAATTGTATACATCAAAATGTTGACATTATTTGCGAGAAAATTTAATTTTACCTTATCTAAGAATCTCACCTCTTTATAGAATGCAGGAGTCCTCCTTTATTCACGAGGGATATGTTCCAAGACCCTCAATGGATGCCTGAAATTGCAATTATGCCAAACCCTGTGTATGCTTTGTTTTGTCCTATAGATACATACCTATAATAAAGTTTAATTTATAAATTAGGTGCAGTAAGTGATTGACAACAATAATAATGAAACAACAATTATAATAACACACTGTAACAAATGTTATGTGAACGTGGCCTCTCTCACAAATATGTTATTGTACTGAATTCACCTTTCTGGTGATAATGTGAGATGATACAGTGCCTAAGTGATGTGATGAAGTGGGGTGAATATGCTGGACAAAGAGATGATTCATGTTCCAGGTGGGACAGCACCAGATTTCATCACCATTAGAATGCCATGCAATGTAAAACGTATGATTTGTTTGTTTCTGCATTTTCCCACTTAATATTTTTGGACCACTGTTAACGCCCAGTAACTGATACCACAGAAATTGTGGATAAGAGGGGACTTTGTTCTTTATCTAATATTAGATAGAATGTGTAAATTGCTTCTTCTCTAGTTATTTAAAGTTTTATATATAAGTAAAAATAATTGTAAATTATAGGCCTTGATCTATGGAAGATGTTTGATTACCTAAACTTGGTAATTTTTTATAGGATTAAAATTAAGTTGGATCAAGGAGGAGTGGTTCAAGATTTTATTAATGCCCTAGAACAACTCTCTAATCCAGAAATGATCTTTAAGGTAATATTACATCTTCTAACACATAAAACATAGAACTTAGATAAAATCTACTTACAATCTAGCTTGATTTTTCTCTCTTTTTTTCCCCCCTGCACAGGACTGGACTGAGGATATCAAAGTTGAATTAACAAAAAACCCCGTAAATAAAAAAGCCATTGAAAAGATGTATGAAAGAATGTATGCAGCCTTGGGAGACTCAAAGGCTCCAGGCCTTGGGGCTTTTAGAAGGAAGTTTATTCAGGTATGGGTAATGGCAGCCTGCCTTTATGATAGAATCATTGTGAAGACTAATACTTATGGTTGCTGGTTTGTTAGCAATTCTGGTTTTAAATTGTCTGTTGAATTTGTAAACTGTCTTTAGATCTGATGCTTTCTCTGAAATATTAATGGCATGTTTCTAGGTCATAAAGAGCAAAGGGGGTCAATAGGTAAAATCTTGGGGGTTTTATTACATTGTGTTCTTCATGCTCAGATTCTTAGATATGAAGGTTACATGTAGTTTAATCTTTTTAATTCTCAGAATGGTTTGAATATTGGATCAATAAATATTTGTATTTTATATAGGTTAACTATTGGTGAGCACTTATCTCTGTTCAAGGCACTCTACTGGGTGCTATAGGAGATACAAAGAGAAGATTGACCCAGTTTCTGAATTCAAAGAATTGTTGGTAGATACTGTATGTAAAGAACTGTAGCCTGAGGACAAATGTGATATGTGAGACCTATTTTCAAAGATGTTTTCGAGTTGAAAGAAAGAGAATCTTCTCACCTCAGTTTGGAGTGAATCAGAAAAATCCTCTTAGAACAAGTGGAGATCAAAGAGCCTTGCCGTGTCCAGATTCCACACCACATGCCTTGTGCTTGCTGCTCCCTCTACATGAGTTTCTCTGCTGGCCCCGTCCAGCTGGATAGCTCACCCTGGCAGATGTGTCTTTGTATCATTTCTCCTTCAGAGCCCGTCTCTGAACCTCCTTCTCCTTGCTGTCCCAAGAGTTATGTGTTCCTTCCTCTCTGCTGCCTGAAGCACCTACATGCACATCTCTTAGCATTCAACAGAGCCCGTCTCTGAACCTCCTTCTCCTTGCTGTCCCCAGGAGTTATGTGTTCCTTTCTCTCTGCTGCCTGAAGCAACTACATGCACATCTCTTAGCATTCATCCATGTTGCAGCATGTGTCAGCACTTCACTCCTTTTTTACTTTATTTTTTTTTTTATCGATTTCAGAGAGGAAGGGAAAGGGAGAGAGAGCTAGAAACATCAATGAGGAGAGAGAATCAATGATTGGCTGCCTCCTGCACACCCCCACTGGGGGTCAAGCCCGTAACCCGGGACCCTTCAGTCCACAGGCTGATGCTCTATCCATTGAGCCAAACGAGCTGGGCAATACTTCACTCCGTTTTATTGCTGAATATTATTCCACTTTTTGTCACGTTTTGTTTATTCTTTCATCAACTGATGAACATTTGGTTTTTTTTCCACTTCTTAGTTCTTATGAATAGTGCTGCTGTGAACATCAGTGTACAGGTTCTTTTGGCAAAATCCTCAGGAATAGAAAACCATATTTATCTTTTTAAAAAAATGTATTTTTTTAAATTGATTTCAGAAAGGAAAGTAGAGGGGGGGAGAGAGAGACAGAAACATCAATTACAAGGGAGAACCATTGATTGGCTGCCTCCTGCACGCCCCTCTACTAGGGATTGAGCCCATAACCCAGATATGTGTCCTTGACCAGAATTGAACCTGGGACCCTTCAGTGCACAGGCTGGCACTCTATCCACTGAGCCAAACCGGCTAGGGCCATATTTATCTTTAATTCTTTAATTTATGCCTCCCAAATTAGACTTGTGGACAGAGATTTTCATCTTATTCATCTTTTCTTTTCACTACCTATACTACCGTTGGGTGTGAAATAGGCATCTTTAATTAGATGCATGAATGGTATAGTTTCGATAAGTAGAGATGGATTTTGGCGGGTCATTCCTACTTAGGGTAGTTTTAGTTAAAGGTATGAATAAATGTAAGGATATACAGGACTGTCATTGCTACATGTGACAAGGGGTTTAAATCCTAAAAGCCAAGATAAAATCATGCATGCGCACTGAGCGGGCCGCTCCAAGGACCCAAGGGGCAGAACGTGACAGGTGGCACATCCCGGCCATGGGTCCCAGCATCCGACTCTGCTCATCCTCCTTCCTACAAGCAAGTGAAAGCTGACAGAGGATATGCTGGGTGAACGGGAGCAGGAAGATGCCACTGCCCAGTTCCCACACGTGGAGTTCACTGGGCGGGACAGCATCCCCTGCCTCTCCTGCCCAGGGACAGGCTACATCCGACAGAGCAAGTGAATGAGCTGGTGGCTTTGATCCCACAGTGACCAGAGATTGTGCGCTCGGAGAACCAAGCAGTATGGCCTCCTGTCTGTCCTGCTCTGTCTCCTGGCATTTGGGTTAGTGATTTTCTTCCTATTTCCAAATTCAGTCCTTATGGACGACGGCGGCATCAGTGAGAAAAGTCACATTTAATAAGCAGGACTCCCTTGTAATCCTCACCGTTAAGGCCACCCTGAAAATCAGGGCCTCCCACTTCTTCTCTGTGGCAGTGGCCAGCCTGTCCAACCAAGTTCAGTGTGTGAACACAGTGGTCAGTCATGTGACAGCTAACATCTCCCTCATTCCACCTTGGAGCGAGCTGGTGAGTGTGACGGCGCAGGCAGAGGTGGGACGGCCATTTTCCTGTGTGTACTTCTGCACATTGCCCAGTGTCCAGGTGTACAACGTAGTGACCTTCATGAGAACTTCAGTTAAGATCTCATACACTGGCCACATGACCTAGAGCTCCTTGGAGACACATCGCTATGTGGATTGTGGACAAATTCCTCAGCTGTTTAGAAAATGCCTTTGGTTCTTCTATGGCAGCACCTGTCAGAAGAGACACAGCATCTGTTCTCAGGGCCCGAGTTCCATTCCTACCCCAGGTGGTAGAAGTAGAGGAGAAACTGGTTCTCTTAATCCCCAGCATACACCCTCCTGCCACTTGGGAGGAAAACTCACCTCTATAGCAGCATTCATGTATCTCCGAACCAGCAGAATCGCTGCCCAGCGAATAGTAGGCAATATGCCCAGCGAATAGTAGGCACTCAAGGTTTGAAGAATTAAATTCAGATCTTTTCAGCTGTTCTTGGAGCATTATAAATTGAAAGCATGCCGTGCTAGGTTATAAAACCATAGAGTAACAGGGACAGTTAGTGCAGTACTGTGAAACAGAGGAGGATTTGATATGGTGTGGAGCCTAGTAATATAGGTCATTCAATGAAATACAGAGGTTTATAATCTTACCTTTTTTGAAAATCAGAAGCAGGGTGTTTTTCTACCAGATCCCTAATCCCTGTTCCAGCCAGCGAATGAAGGCTAAATCAAGCCCCACATGGACTCTCGGTAAAAGCAATGATAACGTTCTGTGAGTTCCTGGCATTTGGGAGCAGATGAAAATCGTCACCTATAGAATGGTCTGTGCTTTCTCTGTGTATCCAGGTTTTCTCTCCCTGCTTCCTCTTCTGTGCAGATGCACTAACTGTCCTATCTCCAATGTTCAAATATACCTTAAACATTAATATTTAAGATAAGTTATTATTAATTTCAGGCTTTTGGAAAAGAATTTGATAAACACTTTGGGAGACAAGGTTCTAAGCTACCTGGAATGAAGCCTCATGACTTCAATGACATTACCAACACACTGCTTTCAAAAATGCGCGAAGACTCAAAGCCACCTGGGAACCTGAAAGAATGCTCACCCTGGATGAGTGACTTCAGAGTGGAATTCCTAAGAAACGAGCTGGAGATTCCTGGTGAGTGAACCTTTAGAAGTGACAAGGCTACTTTAAGGAGAATAGTTCTGTAGCAAGAACTTTTGATTTCTAAAATAATGTCAGGATTTTGACAGTTATTTTTATTTTAAATTCTTGTCATATTTTTTATCATTACTATGAATCGGTATACTTTATCCAATGTCTAATTAGATTATAGTTTTCTTATATTCCTGATTATGACAAGTGTTCAGATTTCTATCTAATAATAATGATAATGTAATTTCTTCTAAACATCCCCATGCTTTGCTTCTGAATACCTTTTCCTCAGAAATATAATATAGGTATAAATGCAAATCACTTCTTGGGATGTACATGCTGGACCCATTCAAAGTGACAAGATAATGATAAACAACTTACCTTTGAGAAAAAGAATTGTGACATTGAGGATAAAGACAAGTCGGTCAGATGTGAACACAGCATTTTTCAAAGACAATTTTTTTACATTTCATGTTCTTTACCCTGGAATTCAACAGACCAAAAAAAAATGTTTTAATATGGTTATATCCATTGGATATAAAAAACATTTGGAGAAATACTTTTCTTTGTTATTATTAGCAGCTATGTATTACATGCAGGCAGTTTCAAGAAAATTATTTGAAACGTAAGCCTCCTAATATGCAGCTTGATTCTCCTTGAAATACAACAGTGTTCTATCCAATGCATTCTTTTTCCTGTTTGAAGTTCTTCCCTTAGTCAAATTCAGAAATGCAGGGTTGGGCAAAAGTAGGTTTCTAGTTGTAATACAAGTAAATAATACAATAATTAATAAATAATAACACAAAATAGACTGCATACTGCACAACTGTAAACCTACTTTTGTTTAACCCTGTAATAGATTTTTTAAGATCCATTTTCTTTAAATAAAAACTTTTAGTAAAAATTTTGTTAACTTTTTAATTAGATCGCAACTATTTGTCAAGTTTTTTAAAATTGATTTTTAGAGAGAGAGGAAGGGAAAGGAAGAGAGAGAAACACCGATATGAGAGCAAGACAGAGATTGACTGTCTCCTGCACACCCCCTACCAGGTATCAAGCCCACAACCTGGGCATGTACGCTGACCAGGAATCAAACTGGCAACCTTTTAGTGCATGGGACGATGCTCAACTACTGAGCCACACTGGCCAGGGCAGCAGCTGTTTTAAAATACAGGGATCTGTAACAAGCTCTATCTAAATAAGGCTTTTCTGTTTTGTCTTAGGTCAGTATGATGGCAAAGGAAAGCCAATGCCAGAATACCACGCACGAATCGCGGGGTTTGATGAGCGGGTAGGTGCCGGTGTTTGTGACCCCAGTCACCAGAGTTAGGATTGTTAGTCTGTGGCATTTAGTTCTTCACATTTGAGAATATTTGTGTACCCAAGAAAAGACAATTAACTTCCTGTGTTGGTCTAAAATGTATGTAGTTTTATTATCCTATTCTTTACTGAATTTCTTAATGTTTCCAATGTTTTAATATCAATCATATTTAAGGACATAATAAACTTGAAGGGTAAACTATATATGTGTATCCATTATAAAACATAGGTAATTTAAGTAATTGTAGAAAGTTGTATATTGCTTGTTGCTAAGGACATCCACATTTATTAGCAATTATTTTAACCAGGAATATGAAATTATGTGGGTACAATAGTATGGTGTGAACAGGTAACAGAAATATCTCACTGACCCTTGATTATCTCTTTTTTTCTCTATATCACCTGTCTTCAAAGAGAGATCTCTCTTTGAGCAATGTGTGCCAACCAGCCTTACTTTCCCCACCCCTCCTTTTTTAAAATATATTTTTTATTGATTTCAGAGAGGAAGGGAGAGGAAAAGAGAGATAGAAACATCAATGATGAGAGAGAATCATTGATTGACTGCCTCTTGCACACCCCCTACTGAGGATTGAGCCCGCAACCCCAGGCATGTGCCCTGACCAGGAATTTAACCCTGACCTCCTGGTTCATGGGTCGATATTCAGCCATGAGCCACACCAGCTGGGCACTTTTCCCCTTTTGATGGTGATATGATGTGCTGGTCCCTCAGTGTTTAGACTGCACCTAAAAATATTTTCTTAATTTTTAAAGGTGAAAACAATGGCTTCTATCAGAAAACCGAAGCGCATCATCATCCGAGGCCATGATGAGCGAGACTACCCTTTCCTGGTGAAAGGGGGCGAAGATCTGCGGCAGGACCAGCGCGTCGAGCAGCTCTTTGAGGTCATGAACGTCATCCTCTCCCGAGACGCCGCCTGCAGTCAGAGAAACATGCAGTTACAGACGTACCACGTCATCCCCATGACCTCCAGGTATGAGCGCCTGGGCGTTGTCATTCTAGAGCAGATTTATGTAAATGGAAACTTCAGCACGGGGCCAAATCCTTGTTTCATTTGGCTGAGATGGGGTTGGAGGTCACTTGACAATTTAGTGTTTTAGATTTCGCAAAGACAGAAACCTAGCCAGAATTAATAAACACCTCTAAACATATGATTTTTATCTTGATGTGGGGAAAGTAAGTGAAGAATTGACATGAAAAAAAAATCTGTTTTGCTTTAATTCTACAGAACTTTTTTCCAGTAAAGAAAGAGCAGTTTGGGTTTGTATTCATAAACCTTTTATTCTCCTTTTCAGATTAGGATTAATTGAATGGATTGAAAATACATTTACCTTAAAGGAACTTCTTTTGAGTAACATGTCACAAGAGGAGAAAGCAGCTTATACAAGGTAACGTGGAGTCTCAATACTTTCTCCAGCCCTGCCCTGGTCCACCTCAGCCAGCTGCTGCGCCCTGGACATGACATTCTCCCTGAGTAGAGTTGTTTCAAATTCCGTTTCCTCCAGCCCATGTTTCTAGTCACATTTTAGGGCCCCTTTCTATTGGTGCTGTCAGCCGACCCTGGCCTAGTCTTTAATCTGCTTCTGGTTAGGTGAATACCCTAAATGGAGTAGAGGAGTCTAAACAGTAGTTGCATATATTTTACCACAATAATGCAAAAAAAAAAGTGTTAGCTTTGGGAAAAAAGGGAAAATCTTGAAAGAAGTAAAACAAATACATAAGAATAGCAGCTGACATTTCATTAAACGTCTTCTGTGTGCTAGGCACTATTCTCAGCTCTTAATATATATGAAGTCATTTATTTTTTCACAAAAACCTGCAAGGTGAGTGTCACTAGCTCTGTTCAGATGAGGAAGCTGAGGCCCAGAAAGGTTAAGTACTTGTCCTAGGTTACCCAGCATGTAAGTGGTATAGCTAATCAGAAGGGTTTTTTCTTTGTTTTTTGTTTCTGTAAAGAAAAATAAGGACAATATTGAAACACATTTTGAAGTAGGAGTTAACTAGCTTTGAGGACAAGCTATAGAATGAGGGAAGAAGAAACAGGCCTATTTTTCTTCATTGTACTCTCATTCTTTCCTGAAAGTATGGAACAGTTTTTGTAAAATTAATCATTTTGATCAAACTCTTACCTGTGGGTAACAGTTGATACATAGGACAGTGATTATCAGCTTTTAATTCCCATCATTTGAGTCCTTCGTCTGGAATTGTCTCTGCCTTGATGACAGGAAAGCTGACGAACAGTACTTCCCAGAGTCCGAAATTCCGCAGCTGTTCTGGTACTGCCGGGCAGTGTTTCGGACTCACCGTTCCCTCTTCCCACGCCTCCTTTGTAAGAGGGGGCACTGATGTAAAGTGCATACGGCAAACATAGGTATCAGCAGAGTTCAAGTGCTTTTCAATATGAAATTGTGTAGACTACTTTCCTCTACCTTTTTAAAACAAGGCACTTCCAACCCCCTTTACTAAACATCATTGCTATCTTTTCTTTACATATAACAGTTTTTCCAAACTAAAGATTTTCACCCCAGTTGAAACTAGGAGAGAATTTAGTTGAAAACGGAGTGTCCATTTATGAAGTTAACTTAGTAGCAATTAAGAAAAGATTCAACTTAAGCGATCGAACTATTAAGTAATATGTTGCAAAATCATTCTATCTTTAGGTGTTTTTTTAGGAAAACTTGTTAAAACTTTTGACACAAACCCGGAAGTGGCTAAACATACAAACATCCCATTGTTCCCAGCTGCCCAGATGCTGCCTTTTGCCTAAGAAGCATTGAAAACAGCTTTTCAAATTCAATTCAATTCACATCCATTGTCTTCTAAGAAAATACTTTTTTCTTAGTACGGATTTCATATGTATCTGCAAACTGGAAAAGGGGAAAGAGTAAGGCAGGGTTTTAAATAATGACAAGAACAGACTTCACCTGTCTTCAAATGATGTGTGGCGTTGTGTTTGCAATGTCGCATGGCTGCCTGTTTTAAATCAGTTGCGTGTAGTCCCATCACCCTGTTGTTGCGGTGCTTTCCCAGGACAGGACTTCTAGAGCCACGTGCCAAGGTCATAGACACTTATGTTGAGGTCATCTTGTTTCTCTCTGTATGAAGTGGAAAAATGATTGTATTTCTTTGTTTTGTGCCTAAACTTTTACACAGGAAATACCTTTGGTTCTTCAGAAATTAAGGATGAATAATGATATATTGAAATTCTAGATCCAGAGTAACATGGGTTGTGTTAATATTAAATACTAGAGGCCCGATGCACGAAGATTTGTGCAAGAATGGGCCTTCCTTCCCCTGGCTGCTGGCACCATCTTTGCTCCGGCCCGGAGCCGCCTTTCCACCTTCCCATGCTGCCCAGAGGCCCGGAGTGGCTGGGGCAGTGTGGAACGCCTGCCTTGTCGCCACGGCAAGCATCCTGCCCCGCCCCTGGCTGCTCAGCACCTGTGTATGCAAATTAACCTGCCAGTTTTGTTGGGTTGATTTGCATACTCACTCCTGATTGGCTGATGGGTGTTGGGAAGGTACGATCAGTTTGCATATTTCTCTTTTATTAGTGTAGATGATTAAAAATCACATTTATTTTCCCTGCCTCTTCACTGTTTTTCAATGAATTCATGGTGGTCTTTGCCTCTAAAAGCATATAATGCTGAATATCTCCCCAGTGCTGACTCCTTTTTCCTCTTTGCTAGTGATCCCCGAGCCCCACCATTTGATTATAGAGACTGGCTGGCAAAGACGTCGGGAAAGCAAGGCCCTGGCGCTTATATGCTGATGTATAAGTGAGTGTGTTTTGATTTTCCTTTTTGTAACTAGTTTGTGCTTCTCAAAGTTGCATATATACTTTTGTTTCTTAGAAAGTTTTACCTCAGAGAAATGATCAAAATCTAGTTACTTGATATCTGAGCTTCAATGTAAACAAAGAATTTTAAATTTCCCGTCATAAGAAGTTTGTTCTAATCAGACATTTTCTATTGTTCAATCTTAGGAGAGCTAGTCGTACTGAAACAGTCACATCTTTCAGAAAAAGAGAAAGTAAAGTACCAGCTGCTCTCTTGAAGTAAGTATCCTTCCCACTGGACCCCAGCGGTGCCCCCTCTCCCAGGCCTGTTAGCACAGTGAGGACCCCTGCGGTGTCCCCTCTCCCAGGCCTGTTAGCACAGTGAGGACCCCAGCGGTGCCCCCTCTCCCAGGCCTGTTAGCACAGTGAGGACCCCTGCGGTGTCCCCTCTCCCAGGCCTGGTAGCACAGTGAGGACCCCAGCGGTGTCCCCTCTCCCAGGCGCTGGTAGCACAGCAGAAACCCCCAGCGGTGTCCCCTCTCCCAGGCCTGGTAGCACAGCGGGGACCCCAGCGGTGTCCCCTCTCCCTGGCACTGTTAGCACAGCGGGGACCCCCAGCAGTGTCCCCTCTCCCAGGCCTGTTAGCACAGTGAGGACCCCTGTGGTGTCCCCTCTCCCAGGCCTGGTAGCACAGTGAGGACCCCAGCGGTGTCCCCTCTCCCAGGCCTGTTAGCACAGTGGGGACCAGCGGTGT